TTTTTTGGTTGCAGCCGTCATTGTTGTTTGGCGGGTCCGGGCTGGGGATTCGAACCCGCCACCTTAGGTGTACGTGGCTGGCGCCTTAGCCCGTTGAGCTATAGGCGCCGAGCCAAGGCAGTGGTATCTTAAAAAGCCACACTGGGGCTCTGCAACATCAGATGACACTGGGGACTAGGGACCTGGGGTGCCACTTCAGGGGAAAGGCAACATCCCTCTCTCTGTGCCCTCCCTCCAGTTCTGCCCCCTTCTTCCCACAAGCCACTGCAGCACCATGCACATTTTGTTTGTTTGTTTGTTTTCTTTCCAAGGTGGGCCTTAATGTCCTGGTTCAGAAAGCAAACAAGTTCACCCCTGCCACCCGCCTTCTCGTCCAGAGATTTGTGCCATTCCCTGCTGTAGGTAAGACCTGCATGGTACACAGACATGAGTGTTCTGTGCCTGGGTATCTGGGACTACAGGGCTCCCAGGGGGCTGGATGGCCTTTCTACATCTTTAGTGATGCCCAGGGGGTACCCAGCTGGGGGAAGTAGCAAACACGTGGCTAGAAGTCAGGACCAAGGGACCTCACTGATGGCTCCAAGCCGGTGATCCTGCTTTCAGTGCAGGGGTTCTTAACCTGGGGCCCCAGGCCCCCAAGGGGTCAGTAGAGAGAATACAGTGGGTCTAGTATAGTTGGTTGGGGAAAATAATTATACTAACCTGTAACTGAAATTTAATATTTCTTTCATTATGAATATAGGCATCAAACCACAGTAAGAAGGAGGACCTTTGACTTTGTCACCAATAGAAATCAAAGATGTTTTTGTGTCACTATACAGTTGTTTCAGAGATCTTAAAATAGCATTTATGCTCAACACTAATTCATACCTAATATGTCAACTGCTTTTTAATTCATTGTTTAAAAGCGTATCTATTATTATATCACATTAAAAATATTTTGATAACTTATTTCAATAGAATCCCTTTGAGATCCTATATATATTGTTTTATAGAGTTAGAAACATTATCCTGAGAGCGGCACATAGACCTAACCAGACAGCCAGCAGGGCTCCTGTCACAAAAGAGGTTGGAGCTTCTGCTAATTTAGGTTTCAAGCCTTTGGATCTTGTGGCCCTCTAGGTTTTAGAGCAGTGTTTTTCAACCTTTTTTATTTCACAGCACACTTGAACCTATAGTTAAACTATCGTGACACACTTAAATTACGTTAATAAAAAGAATTAAAAAATACACTTACTATGCTTTGAACTTCTTTCAAAAATAATTTAATTAGTGATCTTTAAATTTTTTTGCATCACACCTAAGATCCTCTTACAGCACACCAGCATGCCTCAGCACACTGGCTGAAAATCACTGTGTTAGAGGCCTCTCTCATACACAGCTGACGGTGGGTGCACAGGTGTGTGCGGAGAGGATTTCTCCTGGCTTCAGCTGAGTCAAGACTTATAAAGGTCTGGGTTATGGGGATGCCAAAAAAGCCCAGTTTGGCTCTTATTTTATTTTGAGACATGGTTTTGCTCTGACGCACAGGATACAGTACAGTGGCATCATCATAACTCACAACAACCTCAAATTCCTGGGCTCAAGTGACCCTCCACTTCAGCCTCCTGAGTAGCTGGGACTCCAAGTGTGTCACCAAGCCCAGCAGTAATTTTTTTTTTAGATTAAAAAATAAGCACCATTGAGAGCAGCACAGAGCAGTGCATAGTTAGTTGTGAAGAGAAGGATAAGCAAACACTTAAACCATAGCACCAGTTTGCCCTCTGTGCCTGAGGACAAAGATGGGGGTGGTGCCAACACAGGGCATGAGGTTCTGTGACCGCCCTCATGTCAAGGCTTAGTCTGAAGAGCTAGAGTCTCAGACCCAGGCTCAAGGTCCTGGCCCCGATCTTTACCTCCAGGGTTCAGCTTCCCCATCTATAATATGCAGGCACCAGTATCCACTTCTATATAGCCCAGGGCTCTGGGAGGAGCAAATGAGGCTGCAAACCAGATTCCGTTGATAGGAAAAGGGCCTGTGAGAAGGTAGGATCTTTACTGGGCAGCCCCACCTCCTGGATGGCCCAGAGGCTAATGAACTCCCAGAACTAACTACCCTGCCAAGCCTCAGCTGACCTAGATAATTGCTATAGCAACTCCACACTTCTAATGAACTCTCAGCTATTTCTGTTCTGGGCCATTAATGGAATAACCCTTTAGATCTGACTTTGTTAAGGGGCCTAATTGAGCAAACAGGCTGCCCAACTGGTATTCCTTACCTTTGGCCTAGGGTCATAAGCAGCCTGACAAGGGGGCAGCGCTCAGCTGCACTGGACTGGATCTAGCTGAGATGCAATCTGTCCTTAGCCAGACTTCACCAGGGGTCCATTTCAGCCCTACTCTGCTGGCCATCTTGCTGTGTAACCTTGGAGCGGTCTTAACAGCTCTGGGACTCCTTCGGTTGGTCTGAGGCTTTTGGACATGTCCCTCTTTAGGCTCCAGTCTGATTCCCTCCCATCTTCTCACTGGGGTACAGACGCTGTCAGGGGCCTTGGGATCTGCACATCCCTGGTGAGTTGCACAGGTTGCCCACAGAATGGTTTGCAGCCCTGGTAGTTCCTGCCTCACCAGGGTTCTGAGAGAAGCAGGCCCTTCAGGGCTTCTTCCTCAGGCCTAGCTACCCAAGTCCTGGCTGTGTGGGGTCCTGCCTGCCTTTGCCTCCCCCCCTCCCCCAGCCCTAGTCTCTGCTTCCCTCTCTGGGGCTCTGGTCTCCATCCCAGTCCTATCTGCAGATGGGCATTTGCCAGTTCCCCTAGTTGATACATTTTTTTTTTCCTTTTTCTTTTTTTTTTTTTGGAGACAGAATCTTGCTCTGTCACCCTGGGTAGAGTGCCATGGTGTCATCATAGCTCACAGCAACCTCAAACTCATGGGTTCAAGCAATCCTCTTGCCTCAGCCTCCCAAGTAGCTGGGACTACAGGTGCCTGCCACCATGCCCAGCTAGGTTTTTTGTTTGTTTGTTTTCAGTAGAGACAGGGTCTCACACTTACTCAGGCTGGTCTCAAACTCCTGAGCTCAAGCAATCCACCCACCTCAGTCTCTTAGAGTGCTAAGATTACAGGTCGGAGCCATGCCTAGTCATCAGCCCCCCTAGTCATTACTGACACAGTTGTGAGATGAATAGGTAATGCTCCCCACCCACCAGGAGCTCAATGGACCCCTGGTCCTCTCAGGCCACCTCCCAGTTCCTACACTAGGCCCTCCTCCATCTTATCCCCAGGAACTGGCTAGGACAGACTGTCTCTAAGCCCCCTGGATGCCGGGAAGGCCCAGGTCCTGGCCAATATTCACTCCTACTTTCCAAGGCAAGCTAGGCTTGACCAGGCTGGGTCACCCTTAAAGGCTGTTGAGAAGTGTGCTCAGAACATGCTTTACCTGGCAGAGGGTCCTTTGCCCCTCTGGGTTGCTGACATGGTAGGGAGACAGGACTCACCAGGCTGTGAGTACATGTGGGAAGTGGCTGAGACAAGTGGAAGTGATCATATTAAGCCCTGGTTGTTGGGGTGTGTGTGTAGAGTGGAACAGAAGGGGGCTGTTCAGGGTGAGGGGTGTTGGGGCCACATCCTTAACTCCCAGTCTCCTAGGCAAGCTGAGAACTCAAGCTCTCAGGCACAGAGAGGCTCCTAGAAAGTCAGTTGCTTCTTTCTACTACTCTGCCCTGCTCCTTCTTGGGCTCCAGCCTGAAGTCTGGGAGGTTGAGGGCGACTTCTCTTGGGCCCACATACTGTCTAAGAGAGGCCTGAGCCAGGATACCTGGGCCAACACATAACTCCCCTACTCCCACCCTGCTCTGCCTCTGTCTTCTCATCTGGAAATGAGGCCTCTGACCAGAACCCCTTTAGTCCCTTCCTTTGGGACCTCCTTGACATCACTGTAGGCCTCCCCACGTCTGCAGAGCCCAGTACTCCCAGGGGTTTGCACAGCTCTCCTTGTACCCCAGAAGGCCTCTCTTTTCCCTCACTTCTCCTCATTCTGTGCTGGGAGGGTCTGAAGGCAGACCATGCCATCCCCCTTTTATAGATTCACTGAAACTCACACTGAGCTTGACTGGCCTCCCACGCCCAGTCTGGGGCTATTCCAGCCTGCTTGGGTGACCCCTCACCAGTAGTAGCTGATGAACTGAGGCATGAGGCCCAGGGGTGGCCGGGGCTGCCTCCATGTTCTCCCTTGGTTTTTTAGCTGGTGTTGTGTGTATGAGTGTATGTGTGTGTGCATTGATGCATGTGCACACATGTGTGCTGAGTATGTGGGAAGCCCCAGGATGCTTCTGCAGCCAAGGTAGTTTCAGGGCCGCACTGTGCCCCGGTCTAGAACAGCAATCACGTGGGAAATCTCAGTTACTATTTATACATGGAGATGTTAGGAATGACGGTGAGCCCAGGAGCATGTGTGCTGGCATCAGAATCGATTGGGGACTGGTAATTAATTTGCTTAGACCTTAATTAATTCTCCAGTTCTTTCTTATTTGTGGACTGTCACGCCTAATTGTGCTCAGGAGCTCAAGCTCAGAGCAGGCCCTCTGTTAATTGACGTATGGTCGCTGTGAGGTGGAAGTTAATGGTTTGGGAAGCTGGGCAAACAGTGTAATTAAAGGTCAATAGAGGAGGCATTGGAAAATACACACCCCAGGTCCAGCCACCAGTCTCCCTGCACAGAGTCCGTTCCAGGGGCTGCAGGCCCCACAGCCTTCTTCAGAGGCCTTGAGGGGAGGACAGCATGGGGTGGAGTTAGCAGCAAGAGGGAGGGTTGGGGCCAGGTTCCAGAGCAGACCCTGGCCAGAGGACTAGGCACACCTTGCTAGTAGTTATGAATGGGGCAGGGGCTTTAAAGAGGTGGAGACCCCATGTGGCATCTCAGCAACTACATTTATAAGGCTGGCACCACAGACACTGTGTAGGTGTGTGTACAGGGAAGATCAGAAGCCCTGAAGGTCACCTCTGGCTGCCTGACTTTATTCACATGGAGCAGGAGACAGCTGAATGTCAGTAAAGACCCCCATCTGGGTCCTGAGCATCAGCCAGCTGATGCCTTCCATGAAGAACAGCCTTCCTGCATGTACCGGAAGTGCAGCCCCAGCCGCCCTTTGCTATGAAGTGACTTCTTCCTGTGCTATCCCCCGCAGTCCCTTATGTTAAATGTCACCATGTATTTCATTGCCATGAAAAGATCCCTGAGGCCAGGTGTGGTGGCTCATGCTGGTAATCTTAGCATTCTGAGAGGCCAAGGTAGGTGGATTGCTTGAGCTCATGAGGTCGAGACCAGCCTGAGCAAAAAGCAAGACCCTGTCTCCACTAAAAATAGAAAAACCGAGGCAAAAGGATTGCTTGAACCTAAGAGTTGGAGGTTGCTGTGAACTATGATG